CAGCGTTCCACTTCTCCCTCTCTACTTTCTTCCTTTGAATGTTTTTTCTCCAAATCAGCTAAATAAGGAGGGTGTAGTGTTGTGTTGGGGTTAAGTCACGTGAATCAAATTAAATTTGGAATGATTCTCACTGGCGAGAAACGGAGGGCGCCTGCAAGCAAGGAGGATCGCTTCAGGAACGGCAGCGGTCGGGGTCTCCGAGGGGTTCGTCAAAGCCCGCCACGTCCACGGCAGCCTCGCATTAGGCTCAAGTCAGCGCCTCATTGTGTCTGTGTGAATGACCCTGGGGGGAGCAGTATGCCGCTGCCCTGCATACATTCCCCTCCACATGTTTGCTCTGCCCAGGGTGTGGCCCAGTTCGAGAGGATTACGCTGAGGAATGCAGCCGAGCCCATCTTTTAAAACAAGAGAGGGAGAAAAAGGGAGCTGAGGCTGTGGGCAATAAAGTTCGTGCTCAATGAGGCATCCCGAAGATCCCCAAAAAGCTCAGAGGGGGGCAGTTACAGCTCAGTCGGTTACAAGCAGACTGAGTTGTAGGCATATTTTAAAAAGACTTAAGAGCAAACTTTGATAATCAGTTTCAACACGTTGCTATGCGTGATTGTTTGTTGAATTACAGACGAAATGGATGGATGGAAGATTTGATTAATTTCTTTCCCTCAGTGGTTGATTCCCTGATTCAGACCTTTCTCTGATGTCTTTATTTACCCCTTTCAGCCGTCTCACTGGCCCCCCTCCCCACAATATAGTCTTTTTCAAACTGACTGCATTAATATGGCCTCGCCGTGAGAGAAACCAGGGCGCTTCACTCCCCCATTGGAGGACTGCACAATTGAGAAAACGCTCCACACACCTGAATGTTCCTTCCATTGTTTGTCCTGCTTCACCGTTTGCTTTTTGACAGCCACTAGTAGAGGAAACATGATCGTGCTGGGATGAAGCAGACAAATGTCCACCCCCAGCCGCCCCTTTCAGAGCATGGAAGCTCAGTCAGGCGTGGGCGTCACCTGGTTAAAGTGTCCGATACAAGAAACAGGAAAAGGAAATCTACACAGAGTTATCATGTCATCAGGGGGTTGGAAAGAAAAAGTCTGTTGATGGTTATTTGAAAATGTACAGGTAAAGTTTTATTAAAATCTACATGCCATCTCTCCACAAGCTGATTTTTTTGGTCTGTTTTCCAGTTTATTTCAAATCTACACGTTTAATGCCAAATAGAGAGGAATACAATTTAAATAAGCTTTTAGGGCATCTTGTGAAGCGGAAGAGAAGACGGGTAATCGTCAGCAAAAGGCTCCTGTCTGCAACAGTCAGTGTGACATCATCACATGACTGCCGTGATTGCATTTACTCCATTAAGGTAGGCATTCTCGCTCATTTCCTGCAGCCCCCGCCTCCATTCTACCCACAAGTACAATTCTGTCATGGTTTCCATGGTCACAGAGCCACAACTATCAAAAAGCTGAAAGGAAAGGGCAGCAAAAAATAACCATTTGGCTCTGCTTGACAGATTTAATGCAATATGTAGGGAGGTTTTCTCATGCCCGCTAACAAAACCTGCTTTATATCACACATTTGAATGCCGTTTTGTCCCTTGCAGGCAAAATCTGTCTCAAAAAAGGCTTTATTTGCATATCATTTTCCTAATTCAACAAAGTCATGTCTACCGACTCATCTTAAGCTGGACCGAGAGCCCCATTTACAGAAAAGACAAACGAGGCTTTGGGTGACTATTTCTAAAGCCCCAAACGCTGGTAAAGGGGACAAAAAAAATCATCCGCAGGACTTGAAACCGTTAAAACGCTGAGGCCGGTGTGGTGTCAGGATGCAGCCAGCTTTATGAGTGAGAACGAAGGAGAAAACCCTGCAGGGATGATTCCTCGAAATCACCTGGCCTATGCAAAGCACAGTAACAGAAAAATGCAAAAGCAGCTTTCTCGGCCCCGGGGTGAAACTTGGCCGCTTCAAACCTGACGACAACTCTCTCTGCGTTTGCGGCCTGATGATTTTACTGCCTGCTCACATTTCTCAAACGCTTGGCTGTCCTCTGGGTCTCGGAGAAAAAGACATTTCTATCTTTTTGCAACACGGAACACTACGTGCAGCGCTAACTAAAAATGAACCATTTACAAAATATCAAGTTCTAAACGTACAGCTTATCTCCCATGTTTGACAAAAAAAAAAAAAGTTTAGCGAGAAGCTGCTGTAATCACAAGAGTTTTACCAGCTCGGCTTCAAAACACCAACCCTGACAGTCAAATTCTGTTTGCACACTGTCGCCTGACAAGCGCATCGGCAGAGTTACACCCCCGAGTCTTCTCCCTCTTGAGCGTTACCTTTCACAAATTTATTAAGAGGCCCCCGATAATTGTCGGCCAAGTTACACCTGGCTGCACACAGCTGTGGCATGCTAACCCTATCAGAAGACCCAGGAAGATGATATGGGTGTAATGGAGTGAAAATAAGCCCGCTGTGGAGCGAAACGCATTTCCTAATGCATAATAAAGCACTCACTCTCTTAGCTGTCACGAGGAAAGTATTTGGGCGAGTTAAAAGTACAGAGAATCCTGTGTACTCCCTCAAAAAAGACAAGTCGAGGGAACATGAGATGAAAGAGAAATTGTGTGTCTTTGTGTGTCCACACGTTAAACAGATTAGCCGAATTAGGTTATTAGTTCACGGGCATCCCAAGGCGACACAAGCAGCCTATCAGTCAAGTTTGGTAAATGTAACAAATATTGCTTTTTTTCTCAGTTTGCTGCTTGTGATACAAAGAAAGGGGGGGAAAAGGCCAAACAAGGGTGGTATCATTGAAAACCTTTCTGGTCTGGTCATGTTAATGGAGGCTGTTGATTTCCAACTAACTTAGCGCACTGTACTAAGAGGGTGGCAGGTAAAAGCTATTACCTCTAATCAGTTTTGTTTCAAGATACTGTACCAAGCTCTGTCAAGCTTTTTAAACAGAGGGAATTATCTAACGTGTCAGATGTCACAAAAACAGTCAGAGAAGACACTGAGTAAGAGACACAACAGCGAATACAAGGTTTTGCACCCACTTGTGCAAACTGACTGAATTAATTGAACACATGTTTCTTTGCAGAGTAAATGGCACCTCTGTGACATCAACAAAGAAGAGCTTGTGTGCTTGTTACTTTAGGTGGAAGGAAAAAGCCACAAAAACAAAAAATCTGTTTGCCTTTCTGTTTTAGTGATGAATACTGAGATGTGCGGACACTCACACAAGTGTTGTCAGGTCTGCTGAAAAAGCAGTAGGTGCAATTTGTGGGAACATTCAATTTGTGTCTTTTAGACAGCTAAGATATAACTGCTCATTTCTGCATCTTCCCCTGACTTTCTGTGAACACAGTGCCGGCCACGCCATAAATAGCCTCTGCTTCATACTAACTAGGCCACCAGGACATCCTTTCAAATGAAGACCTGATAGATGTGACCACAGATGTCATCGGGATGATGACATCCTTTCACTGTTGCTGACCGGAGCTGTAAAGTTGCCATGCTGATACACAGGAGGATACCACAGGCATATATTTCCGTTTTCCAAAACTCAAAACAGCATGTCTTTAGAGGAGAGAGTCAACCCTTCAGGCCACTGTGGTGACTGAACTTTTAAGGAGGTAGATGGTGATCAGCAAGTCCACATGAATTGGGCTCTAGAAAGAGGATGTAGTACTTAGCTGTTGGTCACATCATGAAGTCAGGAGTTATTAAGTCATCGTGACATTTGCAGAAGTTCCTTGTGAGGCCGTCCATACTTGGTGCAACAACAAGTCAGTCCTGATTAGGGTCAGCTGTTTGCTCATTTAACTAGAACAGCATCACAACTCACAAACTCTGGCAGCTGGGGAAGAATGTCACTCAAGCCTGCCTGCATGCAATAACTTGAGTGGGCCTCCCTATGATCATGTCTTAGCTCAGAAAGCAGCTGGTAACACCATAAAAGCTGTTTGTATTTACAGTGTCAAATAAATAACTGAACACGAGCAGCCCACAATAAAGTTTTTTTTACATGCATCGCTGCATGTTTCAGAGAGTTAAAAGCCAGAGTTCAATTTGATCTCCATGGAGGGTTAAGAAGAGAACTCCAATCTATGAGCGCTAACTTTCAAACATGTGAAAAACACTCTGCGTCCAATATGCTGCTCTTTGTGTAAGACGCAGTGCCTGTGAGTACAGCGTGTGAAATGGGAGAAACTCTCCCCTTTTCTGGTGTTCTGCTCTACTTTCTTCAGCTATTTATCACTGTCATATCTGGTTTTTGTTGGGTTTTTTTCCAAACACGGCCTGAAATATAATAGGCTGTTTTCTGATGCAGCGTGTCACAGCTGGCGTGAATGAACCTTGTTGCAATCTGGGAGACGCTGGAGGTGTCTGGTGTAAGGCTAATTTTAGACATTTGAAAGCAAGAAATCATCTTCATTAAAAAAAAACTAAAGACATGCAGAAAGACAAATGACTTCAGCAAAATATAGGAAAATGCATCTAGATTGTGTGAGACCAATACTCCTGCGGAGTTTGTGAGACGCAGCAACGACAAAACAGGTTTGGACTGTTTATAATATTTTTCGGTTGTATGCCGTGTAACACCTGACATGCATCCAAGAATAGAAGCCCCAGACTGACTTAAGGCGATCAAATGTTTGCCTGGAAGCACTGATGATGGACAAGGCATGGTAACTTTAGAAGGACTTACCGTATAAACACACACAGACACTCATGTGTGTTGGTGTTGAACATGACAACAGACCTTTCTGGCCTTTAGCTTCATAGGTCAGACAGGTCTGCTAACTGCAGCTCGGCAAAGAGACCAGACACACGTGCTAATCTGAGCAGACAACCTACACTCGCCCACCATTTAGAGCCATAAAACTGTAACATTCTACATCGAATGCTATATTGGTAGAGCAGAGCTTTAAATCTGCTTTTTGCAGATATGTCATTTCAAATTCTACCAATATATGCACATGTACGGCAGTCCTTACCTTCAATGAGTCAAAGCAGGCGATCACCCTCCCATTCTCCACCTGGCAGCTTTTGGGTGGGTGGGCAAATTTGCATTCTTCATCACTGCGTGAACAAGTCCCCCTCTGAAACTGCCGGCACACTTCCAGGGTCAGCCATTTTGTGTCCCGTATCGAGGCTATGTTTAGAGCCATGTCAAGAGCAATGGCTGCAGAGCTAAGGAGGAGAACCTGACCTCTGAGGATGTGTTTGAAAGTGTTGTAGTCAAATTAAAAAAAAAAAAAAGGCAGGGAAAAATTGGAAAATGAAACAGACAGCAGTTAAAACTGATGGAACATGTAGGTAAAAATAGTCTGCTTCAGGTCAGTGGATGAGTCAGTCCTTGCAGACAGAGAAGTGGAGGTAATGGACTGGCAAAGTCTCTGTGACCTGACCATGGAAATGCACAACTGCACTATTGTGGAGTTTGTCAGTCAAACAGCCAACTGCTCATCAATCAGTAAGTCTCAGGTGCAGACCTCTGACAACGCAGAGGGGGCATGCCTGGAAACAAGCAGCACTGATCGTACCAACGTCCTCAAACTGTCCCCTTTATGAGTGCTGATGTCCTTGCAGGGATGGAGCTGTGAAAAAGTGGTCCTATTTTGAGGTACAATGGCACAGTTTTGGACAACATAAAATTGAAGCTTTCTATTGTATGAAGTCTTCAGTGTGGAGTCTGTCTAAGCTTTCGCACTTTGGCCAGCAGAGCAGCAGCGTGACCTTCTACCTCAGGCTTTCTTCAAACAGATCACAGGTGAGGACAAACCAACAGTCGGTGGGGGGGGGGGGGGTTTCAGCTGAGCCGTGTCCTATGGCAACTGCAGAGGAGAAAATCTGGAGCTCTTCAGAAAAACTCAGGGATCTTTCAGCAGGGTTGCTGTCTTACAAGGCACTTTCTGTCAATGATCTAAAAAGGAAAAACAGGGACAGACAAGAGACAAACACAATGAGAACATGGTGTGCAACAATCATTTAATAGGCAACAGTGTTTGTTTATGCATGTCTTTGTATCCTCAGGTGGATTCTGTCTCTGTTGGTGCTAAAAAACACAGAGTTGATAAACCAGATAAAAGATAATTGTGGAGTTATTCAGAAACCGCTCATATCTAAGTGCTGTGAGATTTGGCATGGGTGACTGTGAGCCCACTGACTTTCCAACATATTGCATACAAAGCAGTGAATTACACAAGCAATGAGACAGTAGACAACGCCACAGAGTCCGGTCAGCCCTGCAGAGCCACGCACAGAGGCCCAGTACGACCAATAGAAAACCGCGCAGCGCAGCACTATTCTGGGCAGCCGTCCAGCAGCCGGAGAGGGACCGAGACAGATGCATGTGCCAGTGCCAGACGCGATTATGACGATGACCAGTGTCCCTCAAAATTCGCTAGTCTCACACTACCCCAATTAGGTACAGGCTCATCGAGAGCGGCCTGTCAATTTAAAGCCGTGTGGGGAAAGTCCGCCTCATCTAGTAGAGGCCCTGGTACATGTGTCTGATCGCTAGACAGTCTAGTGAGTCTAGTGAGCTCTAGAAGACAATTGTTGAAGCAACAATCTGAGGAAGTGACCTTTAGTTTGAGAGTATGAAATCCATTACTAAGCTACTGCGCAGGGAGCTGTTCTTGGCACATCTGGAAATGTTTTGCTGGTAAACTGAGGGCGGGAGAAGGGGCTGGGGACACCAGACTGAGGGAGGAGAAAGAGAGGGATTGTAAAAATTCAGAGCTCTGCTGAAGAGATTATCCTTGTACTGTTTGATATATAAAACACATCTATGGAAAACAGAGAAAAAGAGGAGGTAACACCAAGAAATCAATACATACAAAGAAAAAAGGAATACTTATCCGATTTAGATTTATTTGACTATTACTTACTGAAAAAACAAATACACTGAATTGATTTGTTATACGATGGTAAGAATAAATATAAAGGGATCCAATGATACACCAGGCCAAAAGCAACATTGGTGCCAGCCCTTTGTTTACTAAAGATCATACAGATCATGTGGAGGAGCCAGAGGACTGGTGAGAAAATGCTTTGGGACAGAAATAGAACTTTGGTTTAATTTAGAAGATTTAAAAGGAGGAAAACTATATCTATCAGAGCACAATAAGCTGGCACTATCTGAATCAAAGTGCTGGAAGTATCATGGTTTGGGCCTTTTCTGCTTTATCTGGTTTAGATTCTGCACATTGTTGAACAAAGGGGTCCAACAGATAACGATTAAAAAACAGAATCCATTTCTTTGCTGATTTGGATGGTTTGCTGTGGTCTCACAAATCGACCAATTTTGCTTTGACTACAAGCAGATAAAAGATGCTTCCCTTTGAGATCATTACAAATCCATTGCCATTCCAAACCTATAAATTCAAACCACTGTTGAGCTAATCATATTGTCCCACTTTAGTGCTGATCATGTGAAATGAGATCAGAAGCTTCCTCGGCCGATCGTACTGACGCCCAGGCTCCACTCTCTGAGGCAGGATTTAATTTCACATCATCTCCCCAGGGAGGGAGCCAATCGCTGCGGAAGAGACAATCAGGTAAGAATCATGTCAGATCTGACCTTTAACAATTAATCCCTTCTTATTTTTAGAAGCCATAAGAAGTCTGTGATCAAGCTAACCTACTTTGTCAGTGTGTGAAGGGCCGGTGGCGCCAGCTCTCTGTCAAATGACTCGCCTAAAATGATAGAGCAATTTGGCTGAAAGGGTTGTGGGGGATCTCAGCTGCCCCAGGACAGATGTTAACATCAAATGTATGTGGAGAAATAAGGTGCTTGCTGCAGAGAAAGCCTTTGGAAAAATGAAACAGGTAACAGTGTGGATAAGGGTTGGAGCGCCGGTTAGGCATTCCTTCAGCCAACGTTCAAGCAAGCTTTGTCAGGAACGATATTCAAAACAAATGGTGAAGACTAAAGACTATGTGGGTGGTAGCAAGAAAAAAAAACATGCAGGAACATGACCACACATCTGTTCCTGTTGTTATTACCACTACTGTAGGTTCTTAGGTTTCAACAGCCCAAGGAGGAGGAAAAAGAACGGGTGACTGTTCTGGTGCTGAAATATGCTGTGATCCACTAAATCTACATAAGAAAATGCAGAATAGAGACAAACAATCGAAAAAGCACAACAAATGCAGCCGTTTACTGAATATAAAGCTACTTTTCATCAGCTGTATAACCCAGTCCTTTTTTGAAACTCAGCAAAGCCCCTGCTGGAAAGCAAACTGTTACCTAGGGGGAAAACTATTACCTCTGCCACATAATAACATCCCTTCCCAAGAGGTAAGACAAACTCAAACACACGCTGGAAGAGAATTACTTTGCCATAATGAACACTTTGCAAAAATGGCTGAAGTAAGAGGTGGCGCAGGCAGTTTTCCTTTAGGCTGATTTGGCATTATTGGACACTGTGCTCTGACGTGAGTAACCCTAGCCTTACATCTACAACACCGAAATGCAGCACATCTTTAGTTTCCACTGAGCTTAGCAGGCACACTTTAAGGGAAAGGCTGTTGTATGAAGTTATGGAAGGAAAGGCGGTCAGCAGGTAAGAGGGAACCGTACACCATGTTTGGACTACGTCTTTTCTACTGTAAACCCTTACAATAACATCTCAAGGTAAAGTCTGCATAAGAGTCCATTCAGCCCTCTGAGATTAGCCTGCCTGCAGAGCCTTGTGACTGACCTAGTCTTTGCTTCTGCAGTTTTGAGTCAATCTGGAGGTAGGAATTTTCATCACTGTGTTGCAAACTGTAATAATGTCTTATACAACACTGATCCGCGTTTATTCTGAGATGTTTCTGCAATTAAATGAAATCCTACTGAGCAAATAAGAACAAAAAATCCCCATGTGATAACATTTGTAACCCAGCTTTTGAAAGTCCTTCTGTATCAGCCAAAAGAGACCACATTTTTAAATCAAACCTGAGAAGGCCAGATTACGCAAGAGGACGTTGTCCACTTTGTGTTCTGTACAAAAGTGGAGAGACAGGGTGACCTGACGAAGTAGGATAGAGAGGTGAAGAAAAGCACCACAGTACTAGACTTTATGGATTACTGACGCTTACAAAGGCCAGCTGGCAGGGGCATTATCTTGGTCAGTCTGCGTAATTGAATGAGAGTCAGCGGGACTTGGGTGTCGAGTGAAAGTTATTGGCTTGACCTCTGAATACCACGTATGTAACCCATTAGTGTGGTATCTGTGCACCAGGCTGTGCTGCAGTTTATCTCTGCTGCTTGTATTTGCTCAGCAGAGACGATAAGCTACCTGGTTTCTGTCGGCCGTCCGCTTGTGACGACACTAACTGAGGCACAGGCCAGGTGCTCCCAACAGAAGATGTAAAAAATACAAATTACAGCGAGATGCAAGCACAGAGACGTGGTTCCTGAGTGTCTGCATTTCCATTTATTACCATTTTATGCTGGCAAACTGCAGTTGCATGGTCATTTGCATGGTCAAGAGGAACAAGTGCTCAATGTTTTTCAAGGCTGTGGAGAGAGGGCCTCATTGTAGAGGTAAAAAGGAAAATGTCCAGTTTCCAGTGTGCAATGGAAAATGAGTCAGCCTAATCGTTAAAGCTTTATCAAAATGTTCTCTGTTCCTAACAAACCTAACACAGAACTCAGAATGACATCACCAAAATGTTCCTTTGCACCTTCCAGAGAGGATCAGAGCAGACCCAGAACCCGTAGCCTAATTCGCATCTAATACTATGGAAGCTATGATGCTTATGAAATTGTCTTTGGCATAAGCTAAGGATACCTGCGTTCAATATTATCAAGTGCCATTAGCGATAAGGATGGGTGAGTGAGCTCAGCAGAGGCTATACCAGGACTAAGCTACTGATGGGAGGCTGCAGAAGAGGCATTTCACAGAGTCAGCAGGTAGGTGTGCCCCATATCATAATAGCCTTAGCTAAACCACAGTGACCCGAATAGCCCCGCTCATGATATGGGACCGGGCTTTCCACTCCTCATCGGTGCTTTGCTTAGTCACACAGAATTCCACTGAAAAGAATTCAAGTGATTTTTTGGGGACATTTTTGGGACAATTTTTCATTAATATCAACTTTAGTGCAAAGTTGGAGGATTTCCTTGCTTCCCTGAAGGTTATTGTTTAATTCCTGGTTAGCCACAGGGACCACA